CTGACCTGCTTGAGTGAGACTGACCGTCCTGCAGCGGATGCTGCTGCTGCTCCTGACAGCACTGGTGCTGCAGCCCCCTCCACCACCCACCCCCTCCTGCATGCTCCCTAACCAGGCCTGTTCTGGTAATGAAAACTTTAAGCAGGAGGATTTAAGCACAGGCATGTACAATCTCTCTCACTCACGCACAACGAACAGAGGGTAGTAGCGATGTTAAAATATTCAGTGGGAATCCAGCAGGGGAATGTGAGCGGGTACTGACCACTGGTTTCCTTAACAACAGCAGCACATGGGCCAATGATGCAGTGAGAGAGGAAGCAGGAGAACACACACACACACACACACACAATCTGTATAGGGGGTGTGTCCATAGAGCACATGGTATACTGTAAATCCCTGCCTCACCCGTCTCTTAAAGTGCCAGTGGTGTGGCAAATACAGGACACTTTGATCTAGGGTTCAAATATGGTTACCGTTTAGATAAACTTTAGTGGAATGTGAAATTTATTATTTACTTATTTTACACAAGAATCTAATTTTGAAACATTGAACAGACAAATCGCCCAAGTCACGTGGCCTTTATCAGTTTTTACTTCCTGAGAATCTCCATTTTTCTGTTTTCAGTTGATTGCTAAAGTCTTGATGTCAGGTCTTTGAAGTAAACCAGTGAGTAACATTTACTCTAGACAAACAGTATTCTTCTCTGCTAACTTTGCGCTGTAGCATGCTAATGAAAATAATGTATGATAGAAAAAGTAGTGAGAAGGAGAAATACAAGAAGGATGTCATAAAATCCAGTTCATGGATGATGCATGACACACACACACACACAAAACATTACTGGTCGGGGCTGTGAGCTTGCATATGCTTATCACACATCCACCAAAGCAAATACTCACAGATTAAACAACCAGGATGACAGCTGGAGATCCTAAAGCTGCCTGGGAGACTCATGAGTGAGAGAAAAAAGTATCTTTCTTTATATCTATGTTCAAATGCATAATTTTCTCTCTTCAAGTAAAGGAGGTGGAGATATTACGGTAGATATGTAGCGGCCAGTAGGACTCCACATACTGCCTGATCTCCTCAGGGAGCACAGGTTGTACAAACACACATATTCATTTAGGGGCAATCTGATCTTTGTCCCTGCAGGATAGAGTAATCCTACACTCAGACTTTAACCAGATCGGCGAGGCTACACGCCCAGCTCACACCTACAGCATTCAATGAGTGTGTGAGAGAAGAGAGACAGGAGGGAAAAAAAAGGAACCATCTTGACTTCAGAAATACAAGCTCACTGTGCGATTGTTATCATGTCCAACTCTACAGTTTTCCAACTGTTTTGACATTAATGCAAGTAAAAGAGAATATTATAATTTTCATTGGAGACATTTACAAGACAGCTTTGAGAAGATTAGAACGCTTCTCAGTTACTGCACAACTGTGAGTGATTCAGCACCCGAGGGCTCAGTGCAGGTCACAACTGAAGACCATTCACCAGAAGAAAAGAAATAAAGAATGTAGGGCAAACATTGTGGTACGGAGAAAGACAAATGATTTACAAGCTGTCAAAACTTTGAAATTGGCTGAGGTGGAAGTAAAACGCTGATCAGAAGACTGATAGAAGACACAAAGGCCAGAAACTGAAAACATGACGCAGCAATATGTAATTGGTTTTTTTTCATGATCCAAGAAGCAGCTCAATATTAAAAAAGGCTTCATAAATGTTGGTGTTGGATCCAATATTATTCAGATTTTGTTGGGGTTTTTTTTGTCCCTTACTTTTTTTTTTACTCTAGCTAATTGTTAAGTACTAGTGCAGCTCTCCAACACTGTATAGTTACAAATATGTTCTGTTGTAAACTTTGGCTCCATCAGCACATTTACTACGATTAGACTAGTCAAACATGTCTAAAATAAAGAAAAATAGTAGTACCCAGAAAACCTGTTCTGTTACTAAAGCAGGAGGACACATAAATACAAGTCAAATATCTTTCGTTTTACGTCTGTCGCTAAATGAGCTCAAACAACTCTGATTAGGACCATATCACTTCCACATGACTCCACTCCTCTGTGTACTGCAGTTTTCAGATGTCAATCAGTGACATTCACGGGCTCAACACAGGTCATTTGTTTCACGTCAAGGCAGACACTGATAAGGTGGAACCACAAGAGAAACATTGTGCTGGTCAGCTCCGGGAGGTTAAAGGTGCTCCGAGAGGAAGCACTTACGAAAAAAGAATACTGAACGACATCCAAATTTTCAAGTCAAGGTAAGGGATCTGACTGGAATCAAATGTTTAACAAACTGATGATCAAGATCATGATCAAAGTGTTCAATCCCCTCACTATTCCCTGTTGATTTCAAGCATGTACAGTATCATTCAGTCCTGAGTTCTACGGTCTGTTCCCACGCATGTGTGTCCTTTACCTTTGAGAAAGCAGGCTGCTTTGCAAGTCAGATGAGATCTGAAATAACTTTTTTATGACTTTGTGTAGTATAGTTTTATATGCATCTTGAGGTCTGGGGGGCTGGATGTGGACCGCTAGCCTTAGGTTTGACATATGTGTTTTAAACGTAATTCAGGAAGATGAGTCTGAATTTAATTTTAAACGTGCTAATTTGAGTGATTGTGGATTTAACAATTAACATTTCATTTATTTCAAGAGCATATTTTCATTTTAAAAAATGTCACAAAATTATAACAGATTGGACATTTTATTATATTTTACACAAAAGAGTGTACAATCTCTAATCACGAGATGCAAACGCCACACCTGATGGTAAACACTTGTGTCATCACTCAGAGGGCGTGGCCAAAAGGAGGCATTCAAAGACGCTTGATATTTTCAATAATTATTTTCATAAATGATCATACATTTTATAAAATTAACGCGAAACAACATAGTAATTGCAGCAGAGCGAATTCGGGGAAAAAAATATAAATTTATATAAAAGCTCAAATGAGATAATGAGGTTCAAATAACAACTTTGAGATATTTCAGTCAGAATAACAAGCTACAACGCTGACAAATGGGTGAAAAATAGAATATGGCAAAACAAATAAAATTAAAAAGGCTGCATGAGTAGACAGAAGAATTAGAGCCACTGTCATCTGAGAACAGTCCTCCTCCTCCTCTTATTCCAATGGATTCACCTGTCACACCAGGGAGACGAGCGTTTCCGACGAGCTGACAAAATGTCAGCAACAGGTGTCAGACACAGAGAAAAGCGCACCAGGTTTTGCAACAATGAAAACCAACAACAACAGAAAAAAAATAAAAATCAATTATTTTGAGAACCGGGCCGTGTTTACATACACATAACGTAACCGGTTGAGTGAGTCACTTGATAGTTAATCCTACACCCATGACCAACCGGCTCTATGACCGGATTCTCCCTGCAATCCAGTCGAAAAAACACGGACAAAAACATCACACACTGCAACAGGTTCTACCGAGGTCTGGATGGAATGTGTCCATACGCAAAAGTTAGACCGAGTTCTCACGAACTCACCTTGAGACTCCGGAGGAGATGCGTCGCTGCCATCCTGCTCCGCCATTTCTCCTGACGTCAGCTGACAGAGATCAGGGGCAGCAACCAGAGAGAGACCTGCCGAGAGCCGCACTGATCCCGGCTCACAGGCCGCACACCGGCCCTCCCACCACAGTCAGGTGGGAGGGACACAGACTGACAACAACCCTGGCACCTAATAACAAATTTAAATTATAAGGTATCAATTTGTTATTGTTGTTTGTTTTGCCAGCTTCCATTTCCATTTCATTTAATTGCAAATAAACAATAAATATATAAATGATCCGAACTTATATATTGTCTTATTCTGTCATTTATTTTCTATCCTTTCCAATAAAAAACATTTAATGAGTTGCAAAAACAAAACATAAAAAATATATGTAATTGTAAACATATAAACACGATAGCTCAAACGTATGAATGGTAGAACACGCGAGTTGAATGGTCACAGGTAGAAATAGTCTTGGGGTGACATCTATTGGCAACTAAGTGACTTTTCTCATATACATAGTTTGAACGTTGTACTTTGATTGGAAACATTGTTTAATTAAATTTTATTGAAATGTAAGAAAATAACCCTACTGTAGAGAATAACGCAATTGCAGCTTAAATTGTAAATTTACAA